TACAGCATAGCAAATGTAGAGGGGTCACAGAAAAAGGACAAAAAGTTTAAAACTTGGCATGTACGCAAAGAAGACGGAAATGGTTAAAAAAGGAGTATCTTTAAGGTCAATATACAAGGTGGAAAGAGACTGAAAACACCATGGTATTTAAAATCCACTGAACTGAGGTACTCCTATGGCAAGGCAACACATTCAGAACAGTAGGAAAGGACTGATGGTGAATGGAAGAAGGGAGAAAAAGGTCAGGTGTGGGAGAGTCACCAAAAACTTCTCATAAAGCCTGAAGGACTGAGGAAAGTTAGTGAAGCTATGGTGGTACAAGGTGAAACATCAGAACTTAATTCCATAAAATCCTGAACTCCAAGCAAAAAGCGGTCAGAGAGAAGCAAGGCAGATTTTGGAAATAACTTCAGATACAGAGGCTGGACGTACAAGGTCCTGGCAAAACCATGAATGCAAAAAGGAGGAGGTTAAAAAGGAAGGGTTAACTAGGAGAATCTAGAAGTTACAGCGGCACTTAGAACTGAAATGAGTCCAATACAGCAGAAAACATTAATTTTGGGAACAGAACAGAGTAGAAACGATAGAGTCTATGGAAAAGCACCACCATGTAATTGGAAAATAGCAATGAAAACACCACATACATCAAGTGAAGAAAACAGAAGGGACAGCGTTGAGTGCCAAAGGTGACAGACAGATTAAGACGGATGAAATAAGAATTATGCCTCAAGATTTAACCACAAACAAGCCACCTGTGACCTTACAGCAGTTCAACGAGCTCAAACATCAGAAAGAAGATTGGAGGAGACCAGTGAAAGCGTGGGTGGACAGAAATTCAAGACAATATAAAAATATACCATTAAATATTTTGAAAGAACTTAAGACAGGATGTAGGACTGCAGCAAAACGGCAGTATATGCTGTGAAGAACACATTTCAAATTAAATTTCTGAAGCAAGTGTTTATTTTCAAAGAAGAGAGACTGAAGCAGAGCAGTTTAAATGAAACAGAAGTAGAATTTAAAGAGGGAGTTAGGAACACTAACAAGTGTAAGTAATGAAGTCAACGGGAAAGGACAGTGATATTAAAGAGCAGAAAGTATAAAGGAGACTTCTAAATCTCAAAGAGATGAAAAAGATTGCAGTAAAGAGTTACAGATATTTTTAAGCCAGTATATCTGATGCACAACCAAGACAGTTCTTTAACATCTTTACTCTGACATTTTAAGGAAGCATTGGATTTTCAAAATGCATTAAGTATATTAAAATTTCTCTTTCAGGAATTTAACTAATTTTTACTTTTTTATCCTTGCCATCTGGAAACATTTACAGTTGCTAAAAACTCCTCCTACCAGGAAAAAAAAAAAAAAAAAAAAAGAAACCACTACATACACAAAAAACCAAGCTTCATACAGCCTCCTCCATACCAGGAAGTCAACGCAAATTGGGGAGGATTTGCTACTAGCACTTAACCTTCACCTTACAGAGTTTATTTTTAGGATTAAGTGGCAACCTGTAACTCTAGAGTGAAGGAATAAGAAAAAATTGAGACTGAGCCACACTTTCCCTTTTCAGATACGCTTTTATCTTGAGTTACCTGTTAAAGACTAAGGGGGAAAAAAAGTTAAAAGCAAAACTTTATCACTAGATTAATTGCTCCTTTCTTGTGCCAGCCTCTCCTCTTATATTTTCAACATTATATAAATTAAAAACTCTCTGGAACAGGAAGACTATCTTTATAAAAGTCTAAAGCAACACATCTGTAGTACCTACTAACATTTAGTCATTGGTAGGATGACACTACTGTCCCTGTTCTGCTCTGAGTGAACTTGTTTTATCACACACATGTTCAAAGCAAACTGATACTTTATATAGATGCTGTATATATGCAGCCCAAACATAATTTATCAATAGAGCTGAGAAAGAACCAGGCCCTGGTATCCCAGTCCCCTAACTGCCAGCCTTACTAAGGCAGCAACCTCAGCTACATTTGTTCACATATAGCTCAAGAATTTTTCTTTTAGTTTTGCATTTATTTCCAGTTATTATTACAAACTCTGACATGCACACATAGACACAGACCCCAGCCCCACTGCCCTATGATACTAACCATCAGGCTGAAGAAAAGCTAATCCTGCCTAAATACAAGGATTTCATGCTATGGCTTTGGATTCCTTTTTTTTCCCCCCATCCTCTTATCAATTAGTCAGTTCAAACAAACATGGAAATTAGTCCCAAAGCACTTTTTATCCAAAAGAAAGCAATTTAAAGTCAAAATATTAAATTTAAAAAATAAATGATGGTGCAGCCACCCAAATAGATCATAGAGGAGAAAGGAAAACAGCTCCTTTGAATAGCAGTTGTTTCTTGATATTACCCTTACACATATGAACAGCCTTGTTTTTAACAGCCTCCTCAACAGTTCTACATTTTGTGGCCAACTGTCACACAAAGGAACCACAAAGGCCAAGATCATTTTTGAACAACAAACACCGATTATTACAACAAATCAGGACTGCTATCAGGTCAGCAAGAGTACTTGAAAGGCTCTCTATTCAGAGTAGTACTACCCTTGAAACTGATTTTATACAGATTAAACAAATTAACTCATGATAGAACACTGTTGTTTGATTCAAATTCTTTGTGGCAGGAGCCATCTCCTTGTTGTGTGGCAGGACAGTGCCTAGCACAGTGCGTTCCTGTACACAATAAATACTATTAGCACCACTAATTACTCAACATACAACACCAATACATTCTTAAACGCTTCTATCTCAGCATGCTTCAGCTAAAAAAACTGCATTAACACACAACGCAAAGTTCAGTTCCAGGCTACTTCTATGCCCTTACTTCCTTCTGAACCACCTTTCCAATGTCCATTACTACAAACACCTGTACTATTAGAAAACTCCTTTGTTGAAATCCCTTTCTTCACTCAGCCCAGCACTTTCTATTCCTTAAAGTCATGCTTCTTTCAAGGAGACTGTCGAGGTTGCCATATGATCCCCATAACCTGTGCATGTCAATGCCTCATTATTATTGCTGAGTTTATATGTGGACTACCCTCCTTAGATAGCAAACTACTGTCATGTTAATAAAATGGTCTGAGGAATGATACACACTAGAGGCTTCATCTTTAGAAGCTTATCAAGCAATTTAAATTAATGGTGACTGCAGGCACTCAGGTTCATATGAGGATAAGGCATTACATGATTTTCACTGGGTGTTTCTCAGTGGTCAGATCTCTCTTAGGTCTCACATCATTGCCTTAACTGCAAGATCAACTTCCTGCCTCCCCTCACGGCCTAAACTTTGTCTCCAAGATGTCTAAATGCCCCTTATCCAGACAATGGGAACATCTCTTGCTTTCATCTGAAGACACACCACACATTTGGTGGCATATAAACTAGACAACTATTAAAATATAACCATACTTCAGGCTGATGAAGGAAACACTTGTGGGAAGAGAAGGTTGTGAGAGAAGGAAATTCAAGCCTGCCCTGCTGATTAAATCTCACAAGATACCAAACACGTGCAGCACATTAACCTCACAGCCCGCTATGACTGAATGCTGTGACAAACCAGTAGCAGGTCTAGAAATGGCACTGGCCTACAAAGAAAAGGAATTCTTCCAAGATGGCCTTTTCCTACCAACAAAGAACCCTCAAAGAACCACTCCCAAGCTCAAACCCTCCAGCAGGCACCACCTGCCATCACAACGCTCCTGGCAGGCAAAGAGGACCTCACACCCCCTTCAGCTCCCAGTCAGACCTAGGACCAACATGAGGGGA